CGGGTGAAATTGTAAGAAAACTCGGTGGTGGAGAGACGGAATAAAGACGAGTAAATTCTCGGGGGAGGAAATGACTTGTCGGGGGAGGGAAGGCAAAGTCAGATAGATAGACACACACGGAGATATAAAGGAGGGGTACGGGATTCTCTTCAACTAAGACGCTACGTTGTAAAAATAGAATTATTATTATTACTTTTTTTTTTTAATTTGGTGCTTTACGGCGCTCCGTTTTGCATAAGGTCATTTGAGCGCGCAGGACACATTAAACATTTTCAGTTGGTAAGAAATTTTGAATTTTGCCCAGGTGGCGGTCCAAGCCTACTCTTATCGATTTTTGTACCACCAAGGGATCTTTTACGTGAGCAACTTGCCCGTGGGAGCTCTATTCTTTATACAAGAAGTATGCATGTTGCTGCATGCCTTTAAAAGTTTCCAAAAATGATATGGGCTTAATGCCACTATCAAATTAAGTTTAGTTTTTGTGAGCGTTTTACTGCCACTTACAATACAATAAGGTAAAATAAGAGTCGAAGATTAGAGGTGTTACAGGAGAGTAAAAATCATAAAGAGAAGGAGGAGAGATAAAGACAATAAATGTTTGATAGGAGAGAAGGAGAAAATCACACCAGAGCACTCTCCAACCACCCGCGTTTCAGGTATAGAAAGCAGAATCGACTAATCTGTTTGACTAATGAAGTAATGCCCCAAAATGTACACACGCCATATTTAAGCAGTGCCGGGTGATCAGAAAGTGAGTCCTCGATGTGTGAACGAGACTTGTAAAGAGATACATGGTATTTACAGTAGGTCAGTGGGGACGTGGTGGGTACATCTGGGCAAACAGTCAAACGACCAAACGAGCAAACTGACAAACACACACGGACTGAGGGATCGGTCATGTGAAAAAGTCGCGTAAAGTGTGAGTAAATCAAAAAGGGCACGGAGGAGTGCAGGTGAGAAAACAGAACGGGAACAGAACAAAACAGAACAAAACAAAACCTGTTGAAGTGAGGACACGAGAGTGGGCAGAGTGTGACGTCATTGCGTGGGTGGGGAAGGTCAAGGTGAACCAGGCCAGGACACGGGTGGTCGACATTTTTTTGTTTCTTTTGATTTTTGATTTACCCTTTTGTTGTTCTCTGAAGCTACAGTAAGAGGCTTACGACATTGAGAATGCGCTTCTGTTGATTGCTCTGTTCACAGCAACGATAGATCGCGTAAAATACCGATACAAGTGATACTGGAGAGTAGCGTACACCGTAAAGGTGGGTATGATTGTTTATAACATTTTAGTAAGATTTGTTACGACATTTGCAACACAAAGTTCCTGTAAGTATCAAAGATTAGTGGTCTTACTTTAGTGTAACATACGAAGAAAGGTACGAGGAAAGATACAGGTGATAGATGTTTGACACAAAAGAATGAGCAAACCACATTAAAATTATATCCGCCAACCACCCAACGTGCCAGAGGACGGAAGTTTAAGATTGAACATGAGAAAAGGATCCACTTGTTTCAGCATTTCTTGCTAACTGCTGTATTATTATGCAGAAGGATGTGTGAGACATAGTGGTTGGTCTCTCCGCCGTTGCGTGGAGAAAACAAAGAGTTTGAGTCCCGAGTTAGAAGATAAAAAAAATCGAGTTCCTTTCACTGACTGATGGGATGTGGGATACTGTATCTCACTGAGCCCGGGCTGACCCTGACAAACGGCGCAAAAGCTGCCCACGTCTAAATTACAATCTGAATAGAGACGATAATGACGTAAAACACTTACATTACAGGAACATTATACACGTTCACTTCTTGCAGTGTGTCTTGTACTCTAGCGGGAAATTAACCTCTGTCCTGTTGTGACGTGTCGTGCAAAACGGCAGGTTTCAGTAATCAAAGCAAAAGCTCTCCCTCCCCCTCCCCATCCCTCATCCGCGCGCGCGCGCACGCGC